CAGGGGCGCAGTGGGAGTTAACATTTTGGGTGGGCAAAGCTGAAAATTTTCCGATAAAACTATGATTTTTCCGACAAATTTTTTCTCAATACATTCCTTGAAGATTACCCTTGCTGCATATACTGCAACACTTGATACTACAATATCACGAATGGATCTGGAAATCGTTAACGAATGGATCGTTCGTTATACACCTTCAAGTTCAACAATAGCCTTTATTCTAACAAAACTTATCAAATATAAATCGCTATGAACAAAACTGCAACTAGTTATAAATTTACACCCTACAAGTCTTCTCGCTATACTAGACAGTAAACAGTCAAGTCAGTGTTTATAGCTGTTTATAGCAAAAAGTTTTTTTGGCAAGTTTTAAATCGCATCATAATTACTTTGCATTTATTTATGCTAAACCTTAAATAGATATAACGCCTCCAAAAGAATAGTTTTCTTTTAACTGAATTTATATAACTGTTACGCAAGCAGCATCTTTCTCAAAAGAGGTGTGGCAGCATACAAATCGATGATGTCACCATAGTCTATCGACTGTAAAATATCACTTTCGACGTTGATTGTTATCAGAGAGGAAAGGCGGTCTTGTCCCATCGTTGACCGTAGCCGATTTTTTTACAATCCTCAGCTTTGAAAAAGCTGTACTCATCTCTTAATTTTTCGTCATCCAGGCCGTAATTCTTCGCAACCTTTTTGAATTACACTGCACACAACTGCCTTTCAATTGTTTTTTGAAAACATTCAGGGTTGAGCAAGGCAAAATCTGTCAAAATTGCCTTATGAGACGTAAGTATTGTATTCATTGAGCTGATAGCTGTATCCACTATCACGATGATATACGGATTCCCTATTTCCCTCTAATTCATCTATGCAATTTTCCCCTGGCATCTTTTTCTTTCTGCGTATTCGTCGCTCGAAATGGGAGTTTATGAAATAACTGAGACCAGAGCGTTAATTTCCTTTACAAATTTCAGCAATGCGATGATTCCGATAAATACTCTAATGAAAATAATGATGAAAATAAGTAAGAAGGGTTGAGCATGCCCTATTTTACGACAGGTTAAAAAAAATATGCGACCTTTTGGACACGATCGATGAAAACCTTACATTTTGTCTAATATTTCAAATTTTCCGACAAACGTTGGATTTTCCGACAATCCGACAAATTTTTTGCCAGGGGGGGCGGCTGCCCCCCCAGCCACTGCGCCCCTGATCATACTAGTTAACATCGAGCATCGGTAGGCAACACAGCTAGCTTAGTTATCTGCTGATAATCTGTTTTCTACTCGCTTAGTTAGCTTCGAATCAGGCTATGGCTTAAAGGTCTTGTTTGTTTGAAACCATACAAATAACAAGATCAGCTTGTCAGAAAATTAAGAAAAAATGGTGTAATACCAACCGCAGCCTTGTTGTACTGGGCGTTGTCCCACAGCTATGTGCCGAACGAGATCTGGGAGCCAGTGTGCTATTGAAGTACTGTACCCGCATTAAAGGGGCGTGTATCAGCATAGGCATTGAAAGAGTAAACTGATTCATTGGAGAGAATCAATGACCCCCTACAGCCAGGATGTACACCACTTTCGTCGGAGCCAATGGGTCTCGCTCAGAATAAACAGTGAAGAATAATCACTTTCTTTTTTTTATAGGTACAGAAAAAGAAAGCTTGACACAACCTGCTTCAAGGCTACGCTAAACCCGATAACAACCCTGGATACACTTTGACAAAATAACTCCAGTTTTACAAGCAAGTGACAACAGGACGTGGTAGAAATATCATTCAGCGCTCCTTTTCTTCTTGTGAAGAAATAATAGCTCTTGTGAAGAAACCAAATCAAATTATCAATATTTCTTCTTTTAAAATTTATAGGTAATTTCACAGATCCTTTCGCATAAACTTTTATAGTCAGGCCGAACCTCCATGTTACGTTGCGTATAAAATTTGTGCTTGGTTGTCATTAATTTAAGTGACAAGAATGTTGACACGAAGCTTCGAATTCTTGAGTTTCTGTGTTTCAAGCTTGGAAGTGTGATATAGAAGAAGTGTGATAAGGAAAGAAACAGATTCTGAGGAGAAGATCATTCATGGTAACTTAGCATAATAATACAGCAAGAGAATCACATTAACAAGAAAGGAACAAACAGCCATGGGCAAGAACTTTAGCTTTAGAGCAGAGCATCTTGGACGTAGTAACATGTGTTAACATTGGAGAAGGAAGATAAGGCAAAAACAAGGACAGAAGAAAGTCAACAAAATTCGAAGGTCTTTAAGGATCATTACAGGGCCCTTTTCTGTTCAGACGATGAATTTGGTAAACGAACAAAATAAAAATATGGGGAAAAGAAAATCAGGAGATGGAAGTCGGCCAAATGGGTACCGGTTCTTATAACTTACGTCACATAACAAATAGCATTATGTGGACGGGGAGCGATTCCTTGCCATTTCAAGTTAGATATAAAGAACATTCATGAATGGAATATGAAACATTTACCAGCTTGATTGTTGGGGTTTAATGTGCCAGCTAAGATTCAATTTTGAAACTGTACTGTAGAAAAAGAAAAGCTCAATGACCTACTTTATTGGAATGACGCTCATGATCAAAATCAGACAGCTTCTGCTGGTAAACTCTTTTCAAGAAAAAATTCCACAGTACATGGCGAAAACTGATTGTTAATAAAAATGGTTAATTTTAATTAATAATAAATACAATCCTTTACCACAAATATATGTTAAAAAGCCCTTCAAACTTAGCTATATAATGAATAAACGTATTTCCATAACTACTGAAAGAAAATGATTCCTAACGAAAAACTTAAATCTCTAACTTAAATAAAAATGTTTATTATTCACGGTGAATGCATGGCATTTACAAGTTCTTTCTCAATATCTGATTGATTTTGAAGATGCAATACTAGCTGCATCGTGTAGCCTCTGCCGTCTGTAACCACCCTATCACCCCCCCCCCCTGGACACAAGGTAAAGCGTTAAATAAATGACGGAAAGACACCCTCAAATACAATAACCGTATAAATAATGTAGCGTAATTGCAAAACTTTGAAAATCACAAATTACGTTCGATACAAAATGTCGACGTTCTATAGCTACCATGTTTCCTCTTCAAGGCCGTTGTCGCCCTGGTGATTTTCTTTTTTGGTTGATACCCACTGTCGTTTTGAGGCGTTCCATTCCTTGTCTCTATCCCACTCTCGCCGCCATTGCCCATCTGCCTTCTTCTGACGCCGAAGTCTTTCCGCCTCGATTTCAGCTCTCTCAGCTTTCCATTTATCATATATCTGTCTTTCCTTGCCTGTCATTTCTATGTACTGGTCATATGGCTTTGACCTACCGGTAAACCTGTTCTGTTGTCCACCTCTAGTATTGAAAGCTCGACCACCTTTGTGCGATTCTAGTTTTGCTCGCCCAATCTCTTTTCGGACATCGTAATTGGTCTTTGCACCTATTTGCACATCTTCTTTTGCGTCTTCAAACTGCGAGATTTGCTTTAACTCTTCATTATACATTTCAATGTTCTTTAGTCTCTGTTCCTCCCTCAGCTTGCTAATGGATACTTTGCTGTGTCCAGAACGAGTTCCACGACCAACTGATGGTCTCACACTATTCTCAGACTCCTGCTTTACCTGTTCTCTTCCTCGACCACGACCACGACCACGGCCACGACCACGACCACGCCCGCCAGCGTGCTCAAAAACAGGGTTATCGCTGGATTCAGCCCCATCATCATTTCTATCCATCGGTTCATCAGCTCTCATTTTACTATCAATTGTGACCCCAGAAATTTTATAACTCTCCATAACAGAGATTTCAGAAGTTCCTTCTTCATTTTTACTGGCATTCAGTTTGTCTTGTTCAATTTCTTTCATTCTTTTCAACCTCTCTTCATTTTTCCGTTTTATTTCAGCTATCTTGCGATCTAGAGCTGCTTCTCTGTCATCTAATTTTGGCATATCAGCTTCTGTTTTCATTGGAATGTTTGTAGGGCATTCCAAACCGTTACCTTTGGTTTCCTGAGCTGCATTCTCACGTTCAGAATCGTATTTACTTTGATTCGAAATACCTTCTGAGCAAGCTGCCTCTGATATTCTTTCATCACCCGATTTCAGCTGACTTCCATCTATAGCACCCTTCTCATTCAATCCTGACTTTTTCGGCTCACATTCTACATCTGTCATATTACTTGCATTTTCTTCAAACTCACGGTCAGTTAATAAACCATACAAGCTTTCTTCTTTGAGATGGATGTCTTTCTCAACAAAGCATTCACTAGATGCAACAAGCATAACATCAGGTAAATCAACTTTAGTGCTATCCTCTTCTATATCACCAATCCTTTCTGAGCCTTTGTTTTCACATTCTAAATCACTCAGGCTTTCTTTGCCATCTTTGGAGTCAAAAGCATTAGCTTCATACACATCATTGCAGGTTTGACTGTCTTGCTCAGAACCTACTTTTTCTTCAAAACTTTGGTCACATTCGAAATTACTAAGGATCTTGTGATTGTGATCAAGTTCCTCTTCATTGTAATTTTCATTGTCCTCCTTATCATTTCCAAAATCATTGCTTTGCCCAGCAACTCTGTTTTCCTCAGTCCTTTGATGATATTCTATACAGTAAAAACTTTCTTTATTTATATTACTGTTTTCCTCTTTGGAGGGATTGTTGTACTCAACAGACGTTTCATCTAGGCCATCATCTTCGAGGTCACTGTTTTGCCCAGAAACTCTCATTTCCTCAGTCTTTTGATCAGATTCCACACAGTCAAATCTCTCCTTATTGATATTTCTGTCTTCTTCTTTTGAAGGATGATTGTTCTCAACAGACGTTTCATCTAGGCCATCATCTTCGAGGTCACTGTTTTGCCCAGAAACTCTCATTTCCTCAGTCTTTTGGTCAGATTCCACACAGTCAAACCTCTCCTTTTTGATATTTCTGTCTTCTTCTTTTGAAGGATGATTGTTCTCAACAGACGTTTCATCTAGGCCATCATCTTCGAGGTCACTGTTTTGCCCAGAAACTCTCATTTCCTCAGTCTTTTGATCAGATTCCACACAGTCAAATCTCTCCTTATTGATATTTCTGTCTTCTTCTTTTGAAGGATGATTGTTCTCAACAGACGTTTCATCTAGGCCATCATCTTCGAGGTCACTGTTTTGCCCAGAAACTCTCATTTCCTCAGTCTTTTGGTCAGATTCCACACAGTCAAACCTCTCCTTTTTGATATTTCTGTCTTCTTCTTTTGAAGGATGATTGTTCTCAACCAACGTTTCATCTAGGCCATCATCTTCGAGGTCACTGTTTTGCCCAGAAACTCTCATTTCCTCAGTCTTTTGGTCAGATTCCACACAGTCAAACCTCTCCTTTTTGATATTTCTGTCTTCTTCTTTTGAAGGATGATTGTTCTCAACCAACGTTTCATCTAGGCCATCATCTTCGAGGTCACTGTTTTGCCCAGAAACTCTCATTTCCTCAGTCTTTTGATCAGATTCCACACAGTCAAACCTCTCCTTATTGATAATTCTGTCTTCTTCTTTTGAAGGATGATTGTTCTCAACAGACATTTCATCTTGGCCATCATCTTCGAGGTCACTGTTTTGCCCAGAATCTTTCATTTCCTCAGTCTTTTGGGCAGAGTCTACATGATCAAAGCTTTCTTTGTTGAGATTACTGTCCCCTTCACAGGGATTTATATTTTCATAAACAGCTTCACCACTGCCTCCCCTCATTGTTTTCTCAGAGTCTACATTACCTAAGCTTTCTTGATTGCAATGGCTATCTTGCACATCACAAAACTGCTCATTACATTCAACTGGTACAGAAAGGTCTCTATTATTTTCAATACCATCACTTGCCAATATTGATACTTGTTTGCACTCCTTTGGTGATGTCTCTAGTGATTTCCTCTTTGTGAACTGTACAACTGTATTTGCGCTGTCAACTAACACAGCCTCTTCGACAATATTATTTACATCTGTTGCTGCATTGGCAACAATTTCTTTCTCCATCATTCTTCACAATTGATCAATTGGTAAACCTTTGAAGAAAAAGATAATGATGCAACTGAATGTCCATTTCACTACAGACAAAAACATATATTGAAAAGATTCTTAAAGTTATACCAAGGTTTCCTTTTATAATAATAATAAAACAAATATTTATACGTGTTAAACACTTCAACAATTACGATATTGCTGTTATCACTGTGTGTCCTGTGCCCTAAAACCTTAACCATTACACACATTCTTTTTTCAAAAGACTTTCTTGCGCAAAGTTGGCAAGATCATTGGGTACATTTGGATTGCTATACCAAAAAGATCTTGAAAAAGTGATGGTCACAGAGACTTTTTTCTTTCACCAGATACCTAAATTCTCCCTTCCTTGGGCTTTGAGCAAATTTTTTCTCCTAAAACCATCTTGAGTTTTATATCTATAAGTTTATCGTTCCTTACTGCAGAAAACAAGCAACAGTGACATTTCATTGTGAGAAAACGAAACTTTTCACCTTGATTTGTTTAGAAAATGGCCTAGACAAAATTATTCAAAAAATACGTGGGAAAATTTTCACACTGAGTTAAAATCAAACAGAACTTTACTGAAGAAAAGAACAGATAATTATTGTATTTGATATGAATTTCCTTTAAAAGGTTAACAGTTAGTTAGCAAGCATCTGCAGAAATGGACTGCCAGGGAGATGATTTCAACCAGCTTTCAATTTTTAGCAAACATCAAATAAACCCTATTTTTAGCAAGCTAACAACATTTTCCCAGGGGGGGATCCAGGATTTTTTTACTAGAGCTCAAACCTTTTGAGATTGGGACAATGCCCTTCTTATTTGTGGGACACACCTTACTCGCTTGCATTCATAAGTATTATTTCAAACTTCCTTTTCCTATTTCCTTGTATGTCCCTGCCTTTGAAGATACAATACAGGGGATACAGGTTGTGAAAACAAGCTATAGTCCAATGTTGCTTTACAGGGGCCAGAGAGTGGTGAAGTACTGTGGATACTAATATCCTATTGCTTATAAGGCCATTTTCAAACCTGACTATAGCTGCATTATAGCTTGCTTCAAAAATTGTAGTATGGGTTTCATTGTCTTTGGTGCCTTTTCCAGAGCAAATCCCCAGACTGACTACAGCTTGAAAAATCCACTATAGCTCTATTCTGGTTGGTTACTGTCAACAAATAACAACAAAGACCATTCTATGCTCAGTGTTTTATATCTTATCTGGAGCAATGTTTGAAATATTTAAGAGACACTGTGATGACACATTGCTAGCATTGTATGTTTGTAAATCGCATTTGACAAGCAGAAACTCTGTTTTCAAATGTTGATAGACTTGATAGCAGAGAAAGAATAAACACTTGTGAGGATAAACACATTTTTAGGGACTGCAAGGAAACTCCAAATTCCGAAAATCAGAGAATCCGACTAGGGGTGTACCAGAACAGGATTTTCAGAATCCGGCCGGAACTGGATTTACCGGATTTCTTCGTGGAATATCCGGCTGGATTTTACTGGATAATCTGGCCATTTATGGACTTTTCAGTAATAAAAAGTTTTGAGCCACTTTGCGAAAAAATGTAAATCGTTCAGTGTTGCCAGATTGAATTTATAAACGAAGGCTATGCTGGTGAGCAATTTAAGCCAAAATGCTCATAAAAAGGCCAAATCAAAAACTTTCTCAAGAATCCATCGAGCAGGCACTGGTTATATTTCTACGCTTGTGCCTGTTAGATAATTGCTTAACTTAGATAAGAATCTTACTTTTTTCCAACACTAATTATTCCATGAATGTAGTAATTACTCATTAATTTTAAACGTTCTGCTGAAAAGGCCAACAAGGTCAAATTTAAGTAGTAAGCAAAAAACAATTTTTCCAGGCAATCTAAATCTAAAAACCAATGCCATTGCCGGAGCCAATTTCTCAGCATGCCACAATCATTTCAACTTAAATCGAAACACCTCTCCCGGTAACGATTTGGAAAAAGTTGAATCGTTTCAACTTTTCTCAAAACTACTGGCACATTTAGCGTAATCTCGCTTTACTTTAGGCACGATTGTTGCAGCCCAAGATTCAGACAGTGCCATTTGAATCGATGGCTGCGATACCAGGGACATGGCAGATAGAAAATGGCAGAAAACTGCTGCCGGCCACTTTACGGCTATATGAAAACATGACGAAAACCAGGCTTTATTACAAAAATTGGGATGATTCTAGCTTTTTTATGTTTGACTGTTTTTATGTTTGACTGCCGATTGAGACGTTTTTTTTTAACTTTTAAAACCACGTTCAAGTTTGTTCTTTTGCTTTTAATTTTTGTTGTTCTTTGTATTTACACTTTTATAACTTGTTTTCTCTAGAAATTTTCTTAGTTATGATTAAAATTCTGGAAAATCCGGCAACTGGCCGGATTTCGGAAACAAATCCGGCCGGAACCTGATTTTAAAAAAACAACGATCCGGCGCTGGATTATCCGGCCTATCGGATATCCGGTACATCCCTAAATCCGACTATAAGTCCAGCTACAGTTGCTATAGTCTGGATCTACCCCTGTTTCCCCTTGCCAAAAGAACATTGTTGTTGGAATCAAGAGTGGAATAAATTTTCTCTTCTACCTTTTTACCTATTGATAAGAAGGGGCTTTTATAGCCTTTACACTACTATGGCAAGCATCTTGCAGGCTAGCAGCTATTTTGAACATTTTGGTTCTTGGGATGGTTTCGCATTCACAACAGGCTTTACTCTTGTAATTCCATGTCTCATACAGTTTTTTGTTTCATATACAGTTTGAAACAAAGCTCAGCTGTACTTATACTTATAAAAGGTTGTATCTGCAGACATCCGAGAAAAAACAAGCTTATTGAAGTAAAAAATGGGAATGGATTTGTATCTCCGATGTTGATGAAAATGAAAAATTTATGAACTTTTTCCTTGTTCCTTCATTAAAAAAGAGAGTTGGATAAAACAAAATCAAAATAAATCAAGCTTCTTTGTCAAAAGGAAATTTTTGATGCATTTACTGTTGATGCATCAACTGTTGAAATCACAATGTACCACATCAAAACTTTGCAAACGATATTAAACTCTTTCATTGCAATATTTTGATTTTGTCTACTCTAGGTGGTGGGAGGTTTTTAGGGGGCAGTATTGTTTATTTCCTGCATAACTTTTGCCCAATTCAAAATATGCCACAATAAAAAATTGTGGCATATGCCACAAACCATGTTTAGTTTTAATTTCAGCAGGGATGACGCGTCTTCACACCCCAGATACTCTTTCATTTCAAATTTACTACCCTTGATAAATCTAAGTTTAGTCTTACTATTATTTCTAATGTTATTCTCTATGATTATGATCATTTTTTCTCTAACAACTTTTTTCCACTGTTCTTTGGTTAGATTTTTGATCTGATTTTCTTTGAGGTTAATATCAATCAGTTTTATGTCACTAATCACTTCTTTATACCAACAGTTTGGGAAATTTAAACGTTTTTGCTCTTCATAAACTATCTTGGTCAATCTACTTTCGTTCATGTTTAATACCTTATGGAAGTATATTAATCTTTTCTCTTTTATTCTAAATTCCATAGGCATCAGGCCACATTCAAGGACTATTCCATCATATGACATTGATTGGGGTAGAGAGTTAGTTATTGTTACTGCATCTTTTTGCAATTTTTCTAAGTTTTTAAATTGCTTATTAGTTACGTTAGTCCATGTTTCACATGCGTACAGAACTTTTGGCATCAAAATTGCTTCAATCAGTTTGATACTGATTGCAAAACTTTGTTTCTTGAGTGCCTCCTGTTTAATAAGGAATTTTATTTCTTTAATAACCCCCAAGGCAGTGTTGATTCGTTTACTGATGCACAAATCCAAGGTTCCTTTGTTATTTTTCAAGTCCCCTAGATATTTATATGACTCTACTTCTTTAATAACTTGGCCATTTAAAATTAAAGTTTCTTTTTGGAATTTTTTACTTTTGCTATATTGCATGATCATTTGTTCACTTTTATCCAAGTTGAAATTCAGAAGGTTTTTCTTTTGAAACTCTTCAGCAATAGTAATCATTTCCTGCATTTTCTTGTGAGATATGGAAGCAATTAATATATCATCCTGGTAAAGTAGTGGAGGTATCAAAATGTTCCCAAAGTTAATTCTTAGGTTTTCTCTTTTTACTATTTGTATACCTTTATCAATATGATTGGCACAGATGGGGGCTGCCAAGATAGTTCCTTGTTTTAAATTTTCTTTAATTCTAACCTGTCTTGTAATTCCACTAGGTGTGTGGATTTGAATGTATCCTTCATTGTTTAATTCGTAGACATTTTTAAGAAAGTTTTCTTTCACCCCACTTCTATACATATCTATGATGCAAGACTTTAGCCACAGCTTATCAAAAGCCTTCTCTAGGTCCAGGTACACAAACTTCACTGAGCATTTTAGATATTTGTAATAATCGTTTATTGCTTGCCAAATAAACAAATGATCTAATGTTGACCTACCCTTTCTTCCTCCTGCGGCTGCCTCTGAAAACCCTTTCTCAATAACATTGATCTGTCTATAAAGCATTAATTTTTCGTAGATCTTACTTATGCTTACTGTTAGAAATATACCTCTCCAGTTTTTTATTGCCTTTCTATTCCCTTTTTTCTTATAAATTGTTCTAACAATTATTTTCTTCCAATCCTTTGGGGGCTGACCAGTGGTGAAAACCTTGTTAATTGCTTTCAACACAGAGTTTTTAAACTCATATCCTGAACTTGTATAAATTTCATTACTTATGGAGTCAACCCCTGGGGATTTCTTTATTTTCAGGCTTTTAAGTACTTTTTCCAGTTCCCATATTTCAAAAGGGGCATCATATCTCTTCTTTTGTCCCTTCTGGGATTGTATTACTTTGGCAAATAGCTTATCAACTGATCTTACATGATTTTTATATGTAACCTTACCCATGACCCTTGGTTCACCGGGCCCTAATAATAACAGCATGCTTGACATGCTGTTAGGTTACTCCTGATTATTATTATTTCACTGGTCATTAATAGGCCCGTTAAAATTATTCATTGGAACGAGGTATGCTGACAGCAAACGGGGTCTTGTTCGAGTACCCAGACCTTAGAGCTTTATAAAGAGCTTCTCATCTCTATCCAGAAAACTATACCTGAACAAATCAATCACTAAAGGACACCAACTTACATCTCAGTTCTCCACTTTCTTGGGTGTTGCTCACTGCTTCATCCACCCGCGCTCCCTAGTCCCTCCATCTACTATAACAACAACAACAACTTTTATGTGGTGATGGCGGGACAGCAATGCCCACCCACTGCCGCCACACATTTACTCAGAGACAGGGGTGTAGTGCTGTCAAAGTAACAAGGGGGCTCTTACAAAAAACGCTGCAAAAAGCAATAGCAAAACTAGATATTGACCATTTTGGCATTAACAAGGGGCACAGCCCCTCTGAGCCCCCTAGCACTACATCCTTACTCGGAGACCAGTGTTTATGAATTCAGCAACCTTGATAAACAGGCTCATTGTCAAGTAAAAGGAAGTTTTTCTTCAAAGAAAACCTGCTTCTTGGCTCCCTTCAGACGTGCACGGTCGTCCGAGTTTTTTTACTAGATTGTGAATAAAGGATAAAAGACCGCAGAAGGGGACTTAACCTTCAAATAACTGTTCTAAAAGTATACAAACAAAAACCTAGCTCTTGGTTTTTACCACAAGGAGCTAAAAATTGCCTTGCCCCCTTAACCTGATATAATTGTTTTATAAATGTAGTATGCTTTTGGCATAGTAGTGAATCAAAACAATCCTTTCTGTTGTCTTGCATTTCAGCCTTTAAATGAGATAGACCTTTTTGCATCTTTTTGATAAGCAAAAAGAAACAGATACTCAGCAGGGCATTTCTGTCTGTCTGTTTTCTTGCAGCCAGAGACAGTGGCAGAGGCCAAAGATTGCAGAGGCCAAAATTGTAGGGGCCAAAAACTGCAGAGGACAAAAACTGCAGAGGCCAAAAACTGCAGAGGCCAAAAATTGCAGAGGCCAAACCCGGTTAACACCTAAAGCTGTAGCTAAATTGGTGTTTGAGAGGTGAAGACTAAATGAGCAGATGAAATTTGTATATTAGACTGAGGAGAGAAGCATGTTTGGCACATTTGGATTAAACCTTAGCAAAAAAATTTCAAACAGCAATTTTACCTTGCTGAAGCCAAACCTCACCCTTTTATAGATAGCTTTTGATAAAAAATGGTTTGTGAACAAAAAACAAATAATTTTGCATAAATAACTGAGTTATGGCATCAGACTTAAGTGAATAACTTAGTACCTGGTTTCTTCAGAAATATTATAAAACTTTATTTTCTTGCTTGCTTTGAATAATGCTTAAAAGTTTTCTTTCATGATATACAAACCTAAGTTCCAGACAAGCAAAGATCTTGAAAAATTTTTATCTTGAAATGTATCTTGAAATAGCTTTCATTAATTGTTACTCGCAATGCTTTACAGGCAAGGGCAAAGAAGTGATGTTTATAGAGACTGACCTCTGAAAAAATGACACTGTACAAACAATTTTCTTCTAAATGTTAGCAATATTGTAATAAAACTAATTATGTATAAATATAAGAAAATTATAAATATCTATTGAGTTAAATTATATTTGTCTTAGAATTTTGCTTGTTGAATACAGCTTGTAGCAAATATCAGTGAATATGAAGAAATCCATTATAGATTAACAGTTTCGATCTGGCTTTAGTCAACAAAGTAAAGCCTGGTTCATAGTTGATGCATTACATCAAAACTTATTCATGTATGCCTTAATTCTCAGTGGGAGGCTCCAGCTTGTCTGTTGTCAGCTGCCAAAGAAATCAGAGGCATACATTTTGCATACAGAAATTTATTATGTTTTCCACAACATATTTTCTGTGATGCTTTCCATATGCCTTGAACTTACCATCTTCAACTTTTTATCCTTCCATAGGGAAATTTAGCAATGGCTGACTTCAAAGGAAAGCATTGTGAAGAAGTACAAAAAATACCCCCATCTGTATGATTCCTTGCTAAGGGAACATTGGTCAGGAATCCAGGGTAAGGGAATGTAAGGGGCTGCTGCAAGTTTCTAATTTTTGGACAGGTGGAAGAAAAAGACTAGTATATATACTGGAATCATTGACATTGTTGAACATAACAATATAATCCCTACAAACAGTTCACAGAGTATTAATAGGCTATTTTCTGATGAAAAAGTGGTTGTTACAAGTCCAATAGTGGTTGATTCGACTTGTTTAAAGAGTGCTACTAAAAAGCTGCTTACTGGAAAAAGGGAAGATTGGAACCTTGAGAAACTACTCTTGCATGTTTGCCTAGCTCGTGACATGTTAGCCATTAAAATGTTACAAAATTCTATATGATAGCCAGTATGTTTAATACTTACTGGAAACCATAATACTCTAACAAAACAGTCACAAAATGTAGGATTTACATCATTACTGTTGACAACTTCGGATAAATCTGAAATTATGATAAAAGCAACTCTTGTTCACTGTCATTAGATTTTGCTCTTTCATAACAGTAGAAATAAACAATGGCAGCCAAAAATCCAATGAATGCCACAATACCAAGCAAACACATTGCAAAGCCAGGAAAAATATAAACAGTTTCTGAATAAATTTGGTTGGAGATGTAGCTTGTCAGAAGTGAACTTGCAACATCAATGGCTTCCGCAGCAGCAACTGCACTGCCATATTCATGTGGATCAACAAACTTTGTTATCATCGAACGAAGTGCAGGCAAATGAGCTGCTACTGGGATGGCAATAATCTGAATAAGATACAGCATCAGTCTTGAAACAGACACCCCAAGAGTTATGAAGTAAACAATTTGAATGAAAAAACCAAAGATAATTAGCCCCATATCTTTAAGTCGTAGAAAATTAATGAAGATATAAGGCACAACTATTACTCCAAAGGCACGGAGGAATGCTTGTGCTGTGTTGAAGTACCCAATATCCCTGGGTGTCATGCTAAACGGACTGTGTTTTATGTACAGCATTCCCATGTATACCTCACCCATGTTAACAAACAGTGCTATACCAAACAAAGCAAAGACAAATGACATCTTCTTTCTCCTATTTTCCTTGCAAATGACTGCTGATATTCGTTGGTACAACACAAATGGGTTAAAACTGTGTCTTTGTTGTTCCTCATGGTGACCTTGGCAATTTTCTGTTGTATCACTTTCTTGGCCCTCTTCTGTGACAAGTCTTTCCTCTGGTTCTGGTAACAAAGCAGATTCATCTGGCAGCAGAAAAACAACGTACAAGAAATTTAAAAAATTCACAATAGCTGTCATTGAAAAACCCCCTACAAATCCAAAATAATGCAAAACAAAGCCAGACAAAAGGGCAGCGAACAGAGCGCCTAGAAAAAGACACGATTCCAGTATTGACAGCCTCAAAGTACGTTGATCTGCTCTTGTAATGGACGATATATATGCTTCTGAAAGTGCAGCTACTCCAGCATTTTCCCCAAACAGCCCCGGTAAGCAATAGGGTATAAGATAGAGGCCTGGGGAATTTGGTTTCACAGCGGCAATTAGGACAACGAACAAAACACTTTGGATGCAGTATATGAAAGGTGGTACCAGCATAGTCCTTCTTTTGCCAATGAAGTCAGATATCGAACCTATCATAAAGATCGTGAAAAGTGCAGGTAGAAGAGAAGTCACTGGAAAGTAGGACATCCAATAGGCTGCTTCCTTTTGCACATCGTTCTCCATGTTGTGATAAGAGCCTAGGTCCCCACAGACCGTCCTGTTGTATTTGTTCTTGCAAACAGTATCTTGCACAAGCTGAGGGAGTACAATCACGTTAAACGCAAATGTGAAAACAGACATCGCATAGAATGGTTCTGCAGTCGGTCGAAAGCAACCCATATTTTAAATTTCTTATTTACAAGCTTACATTCATTTTATCCACACTCCATTTCTGGTAAATTTTTCAGTTTTCTTTCAACCTCATCAAATCACGAAATTGCCTCGTTTTGGTACCGAGCCGCCGTCAAGAAAATTCCATCAGAAATTTTCAAATTACTATGAAAAAATCCAAGCGAAATAAATTGTGTGAAGATTCTCCTCGATAGACTTTTCACCCATCAGTTTCCACTCCTTGCAGAAAAATTTTTCGAGAAATTTCTAAATAATTCTGCCTCGGTAATTTTATGTGTCAAAATGAAATTGAGTTGCAATTTACTCACTACAAATGCTACTGTTTTTTGTGCCGCGGTAAAGAACGAAAAACATTAAGAATGATAAGAAATGTTGTAAGAAAAAATTATAGAAGAATAGACACTGGGAAGATTGTAGTAGACATTAGATCTGAAGGATCACTTTGTACAAATATTTGAAATTGGAATGAAATGCACTGATAGGCTAAAAGAGAGTAGAATAGAAAGTAGAGTAGAGAGTAGTGAGCAAGAGTGGAGATTGGAGAGTAAGAATAATTAGAAAGTAGAGAGAAATTAGAGAGTAAACAGTAAGAAGAGAGTAAAGAGCAGTGAGTAGATAGTAAAGTAGCGGGTAGAGAGATGAGAGTATATAGTAAGGACAAGTAGAGAGTACAAATTCACCATAGAGTAGATAGAAAGTAGAGAGTAAATTCTCTCAATCAATTCAACATCTTCTTGTTATTCATATCGATGTGCACTATGACTCCTCCTATCCTAAAAGTCAATAATCAATTTTTTGCCTGAGAACCGTCGAATTGTCTATTCTGAGCGGTATATTAATTTGTTAAATTTTAGTCTGGGAGATGCATTTTTAACCATTCCATAATAAGACTTATTTTCAAAAATTTTCTTCCGGATCAGACCCAACCATGGTGGGTCATCATATGTCACTAACCTTGATTCTTAGCCCCCCCCCCCCAGGTTAAATTTCGTGGTACCGTCTCTGATTCGTTTACAAGGAAACAGAACGACTGCGTCATGGTTTACTTAAACACAGTACGCACTCGTTTCGATCCATGTTTTGAACTCGAACCAGCAATGCGAGCAGTCACTCAATTTAATGAGAAAAGTAATTTTTCATTTCCTGGACATAACGGGAATTGAACGGAACAACTGCGTGCCTTTCAAATTTCGTAACACTTGTCAAAGCGTTAACCGTAATCTAGCTACAGTTTTTGAATGTTTTGCCCAATACGATGGCTTCGGAACTAAATATGTGAGCACAGTATGTGAATAAGTACTTTTTCAGAAATTTTTCTCGATTTTATTCAACACCTGGCACCTAGTCCTCTGCCACAAACACGAAGATTCTCAAAACTTACCTCGTTGCTTGCATAAATTTCTTTGGTTTATTTATGTATAGCCAAACAATTTTTCTATCCTGTATTTGTAAATCAGGCAAATGTTACCAAATAAGTGCTTATGCTGAGTCTTCATAAAGGCTTTCAAAGCCAATCTTTCCAAGTGGCTTGCCAGGAAAACTTGACAATCACCCATAAATCTATTAAAACATTTGAAGTGATATATGTAAACATTTTCAATCAATCAGATAGATTTCTGACTCCTCAAACAAAAGTGATTAGTGTCTTAATGAGAAAAACAGACAATAATGCGATGTTATAGCTTGTAATTATAATAGTTAAAAATCCAGCAAAGTACTAGAAGGATATGAAACAAATATAAACAGACATCAGCAGCAAAAGTCTCATTTTATTCGCTTCTACTTTCAAAGTTTACACGTCGTTTTCCAAAGTATACATTATAGCATTTACTATTTACAAGAAAATTTTATAGAATTTGTTCAACCGAACCTAAGGCCCTCGTTATAGCTAAGATAAAGAAAGGGCGAGATTTGATTGGAAGTATACAAATCACTCACTATGTGCAATGGAGATAGCAATCACCTTAATACCGGGAAACTACAACCTATACGGCGTGTGCCACTGAGAGACAAGTCTGCCTGAAGTATTCATATCTTCAAAATCATGTTTTCATGCGTCGCTTTCAAAACGGGTTCACCAAAGATTGGCTAAGATCTTGTGTTCGATTAGTTTGAAAAAATCAACAGAAGTCATGTTGGATTTGACATGGAATTCAGTTGCATGGCAATCCAACAAAAATACTTAATATGCAAAAACCCAAATGGTGGCTACTAAATTTTTGTTCAAATTTAATTAAATGAACAAAAAGTTCAATACAACTGAAATTGTTCAATTTATCTTCGGAAACAGCTCTAATCCCTACACCAAAAAGGATGAAAATCACTTGCAATGTTATATCATTACAGCACGAAAGCCCTCCAGACACACAAAAGGGCAGCATATATGCTTGTCGTAATAGTACTAATTACATGAGTCGTGAGCTTAACGCTAACTTAAAAGTCGCCGGCCGGCATCAAAAGACTTAATCCCTCCTCCTCGAGACTGTCCAGAACACATTTCAAGATGAACAATAAGCAAAATGAAAACAGATACAATCTACAAAGACCATTGTATATGAAAATTATCAGCTAGAAGGTGTGATTATGAACTTGTTTCCTCGAGGCCTTGCATGAAATATCTGGCTGGATTTATGAAACAATGAATCTAAAACGTCTTTAGGCTAATTTCGAAGATACAGTAATGCCTTGACAACGGGGTCTTAATATTTCATGTTCCTTTAAAGAAAACGTGACGTCACAAGGAAGTAAGAGCAAAATTTATTCAGGTCACAAGGGACAACTAAGGGTGTCCTATATTAAACAAATAAATTTGCAGCTTTTGCTCATTCTTTCTTTCAGGCGGATTAAAGCAATACAAGGAAAAGTGGCCGGCTCCTTGTAAATTTGCACTGGCGCCCAACGTGAGCAATCGAGTAAACATGAAAATTGGTTCAAGCTACTACACGTGCCTCGCTTTTCGAGCTAAGGTCAATACAAAGGAAAAATTTGCTTACACTGGGAAAAACAATGAAAATGCGAAGCCGGTAGCTAAACGAGGGGTTAGCAACGAGTGGCCTCCATTACACAAACTAAATTGCTGAAGAGCGGTGGGCACTTATATATGCAGTAATTAAAAACATTCACTAAAATACACCCATTTCCAAAAGTAAAATTACACTACTTAACAAATTAATTCGATTATTCCCAAAATTAATGAAAAATAACAATTACATCATTAAAATTTAAAAGCACAAATTTCTACATCTAAAGTTGCTGCCAAATGTGGATAGGTAAAGGCTCCAGGCTATACCTTAAAAATGTGTTTGTTGAATAAAGGGTCAGGGATGCGGTTATGCCACTTGCAACACGCTGCTCTTCACGGGATTCATCGGTCTAGAGAGAAAAAACCCTTTTAAATTGAGTAAATTTCCAGTCTGGTACAAACTTTGACTCAAAGACCCCTTAAAGTCATTTCATAACAAACAGGTATCTTTAAGTGACTGAAAAACAAATACACAATCCAGAGTATTTCCGGGTTTATTACCCTAATCCAGGCAGAATAAAGATTTGAAGGCTGCCCATGGAACACGGTTGCACACAAAGACGTTATCATCCAGTAAATCTTTGAAACCAAAGAGCAGAAGAACGGTGTTAGCCGTCTTTAGACAACAGAGCCTTAAAATATTGATAAAAATAATATTTACCCGGGTGATTTCTTAGTCTTTATTTTGAATTTGTCCAAATCAACTTCATGTTCGCCCTCCTTCGATTTCTTCCGCTTTCTTTTCCAGCAGTCAGGGTTTATTTTCCGTCTCTCATCGGCCATTACTTTGGCCTTCGTAGCATACTCTTGTCGTTCAGTGAGGCTCAGCTCTCGCCACTGCTCTCCAAGAACTTTACTGATCGCCCTTCAAACATAAAACCAGAGTTATATTTCCAAACGTCAATTTTACGACTAACTATCAACTCATGGCAACATTCTTCAACGAATACAACAAGTGCTCCAAATTTTGATGGAGAACAAATACACATCTGCCAAGTTCTCAGAATTCTGGTTAGATTACTTCTCCGATCAAAAACTTTAATGGCTCAGGTTTATAACATTTTGTTTGTGACTTATTGCAAATTTAAATCGCTGACAGAAACAAAGGAGAAGTTAGCGAAAAGCAATCTGGCTAATAAAGTGTATACCCCATGCAGCATAATGCGGAAGGCGGATGACGATAAGAAAGCAAAGAACACCTGCCAGTTCTACCATAAATAATAGGGATATTTCAACAACCAAAATACCCCACATCCCTCTTTTATCTACAAAACTTTGGTACCAACCAAAGCAACAAAGGAACATAGTACCAACCTGTTGTCTTTTCCAGGATATTTCTGTGTAAGCTCTATCCGCATTTTCTTAGCAAAAAGCATAAATCCATTCATTGGTCTTCTTTGCTTTTCTTCCAAATTGTTTACCTTCCGTTTCCGCTTAGGTTTTCTAGGAAATAGTTGTGCTCCGTGATTCTCTTGATTCTCATCGTGGTTCATGGATTTAGCCTATCGAAACAGACGCAGTGAATTAAGTTCTGTAAACCAATGAGTTCTGTAGAACTGTGGCTAAATGAAGTGGCTGGTGAAAAGTATTGACTAATGACATATTGTAAGTACATACCAGTGACGGTTCCCCGGTTTGCATAACCATTGAATATTGTACATCCCTAGGCACAGAGTCAGCAGGAGAAAACGTTGCTGAAGTTGTTGGAGACATAGCGTCACTGGCAGGAGAGCTTGCCGTCACAGATGACGTCGACAAGAGCGATGAAGGTGGGAGAGGTGGCGGTGGTGGGGGCCGTTCGTTCGCCATTTCTTGGCGCTGGAGAAAAAAGGAAAATGTCAAATTTTGCTATGGCATTCACTCTTTTTTAAGCTACGGCATCTTTCCAAGCATGACAAGTAAAGGTGCGAAAAGAACAAATTCTCATAGAAACTTAGGGTCTGCCCTAAATGTTTGTGGTTAAAACTCCAAAAATGGCGCTTATACACGGAGACTGTTTTTAAGGATAGTGTAAACTGACATTTAATTATAGGGCACCGAAACGAAGCACAATGATGACATGAAGAGCAATGATACCTTGGCCATTGCAGAAAGAGCACTTGCAGCGGAGCTGTCACTTGATCCAAATGAAAACCTAACGGAAGAAAAGATACTGATTACTCAAGACCTAGCAAAACAACGAATATTTCAATCTGTTGCGGTTCGAAAGTGTAACTGACTGAGCTTAGCTACTTCACAGCTACTGAAGCGCTAACCATAGGAGTAAAGGAAATTCTCAGCCATGCCCAGCTTACTTCTAATCTACTCCTGTAAATACAAAAATAGCCGAGGAAATGCAACAGTTAGAAACTGAATCATACTGCATTAAGGCCATGCATTACACACAGTATTCACAACACGATCATAGTTTCGAGCTCCATATCAACTGACTGATTTTTTTACTGACGAGTACATAGAAAGAAATGGCAAGAGATTTTAAAAACATTTCAAAATTACTATGAACATTTTGTGATAATAGAAGTTATGTTGACAATGACAGCTTCTTTTTTATCGAATTTCCTTGCGAGTCAACAAATAAGAACACAAATCATAAACATCACATGTAACCCTAGGTAAAAAATTTGGCACAATTCAATCCAACATGTCAATGAAATGGTACTCACGCTTCAGTGCACGCGACGAGAGGCGATAAAGTGTTCGCATTCGTATCTTTGTTCTGGTTCGATTGAATACAGATATCCCCCTTTTGTAGACTTCTGAAGGGGATTCCGTACCTGGCCATTGCCTCGTTTGGGCATGGTGATGACCAGCCTCTGTGCTTGACAAGAAACGGATGGTCCACAGGGCACTTAACAAAGAGCCTTGGTTGCCCTGGCGTCGTAGACTCGAACGTTATCAAAACGCGATCCTAAAAAAATAAAAATATAATCAATATCTGCATTCTTGGTAGACAGCCTTACAATCTGTGACAGCCAAAAACAGCCTGTTATGAATTTCGTATCAAACAAGATTGCAATCAAGGAAAATAGAAGATTGTTTTTCAACGCTCAATAGAAGAGATACACAGCGGATCATCCCTAGAAAGACACCAAAAACAGGCAAACGGCAACAACGAAAGATTGCCTTTTTAATCAGGTAGTCAATCGGGTAGATCAGTGACGAATTAACCTTGAGTACACTGACCTTCGCCCCCTTGGTATTAGACATCATGTCCTTGGTCTCCTGCATGTCAGTTACTATGAGTCCATTCACAGAGTAGTTAGCCTCTTCACTCTTCTTATTCAGCAGTGAGTTATTACTGCAACTCAATTCCTCAACCCTCCGGTAATCATCGTCCCTGCTTTCAAATTTGATGCTACACCCCTTGATGAAACAATGCCAGACGGGGGACGGCCAGGCCTGAGTCGTCCAAAAAGGCTGTGGTGTGCTGACATTATCTATGAACGGGGAAGGAGGAAGCGATGATGATGAGGATGGCCCCCGTGCCTCTCCATCGTCGTCCTCTTGGTTGTGCCGCGAGCTGCTGAGACCAGATGTGTTCAAATACTGCAAAAAGAAATGAAAATGCTTGACTGGTGGAACGTGCAGGCAAATAACAGGAGCAAGGATTACCCAGAATACAAATTGTGAACTTTCTTACCAGTCTTCATCTTTGAAAAAACTACACAGAGGCTATATAGAATTCATAAGAGGCTATATAGAATTTAAGAGGTTATAGAGGCTAAGCGGTTAGATAGAATCTGTATACAGTGATGTATAGAGGCTTGTTAAATCTAGCAGCTCTCAGGCCACAGTATGATTTTTGCCTGACAATACAGGAAATAATTCCTTTAACTAAAATAGGAAAAATATTGTCATTCTTGATTTTGACAAATTTGATTTTGATTCTGACGAACAATGACGAACTTGATTTTGATTTTAGAGACCAATTAGCTAAAAAGTTATCTAAGAAATAATCAAATTAGTTCCCATATGGTGGTCTAATGAAATGAAGCAGAGCTAGTCAAATAAAAGGGCAATTACAAAATTATGACCGTAGGTTAACATATAACACGAAGAGGTCGGTAAACAAACGATTAAAAGACCCCCAAGGCTTATGGCATAAAAAACCCCACCAAGCAGTGCAACAACAAGGGTAAGAGTTATGACAACTTTCGATCTGACTTACCGTCGGAGGCTTGTCTGGAAAGAAAAATCGGGTGAAACTTTTCGTCATCCAGTCGGGCGTAGATCCAGCACCAAGCAATCCGGGGGTAAGCGTCAAAGGAAATGGGCTTTGTACTAGTGGACTGTGTGGGCTCGTTGCAAATTCAGCAAATTCGGTTAAACGATTCACTTCCGGGGGAACAAGCTTGTTGCTGTCGTCCCTTTTCTCGTCATTTGAAGAAGACGGGGGCTCAATAACGAGAGCTGGTGGAATGGGCTTTGATGAGCGCCTCTTTGATATTGACGGGGGTTCTAATACTACGAACAAAGAAGATAATGAAGTATTGCGGCGCATAAGAAACACAAAAAAGCTCTAAGGAAATTCCTTGCTTTAAATGACATTCTAAAAACATTAGTATCGCGTTACCATCGATATCAAATGAAAGATCACTACTTTATAATCAAAGCCAAGTTATTTTTGGATTACAGCAATTCTTCGATCAAATATAATGGAACAATTGGCAGAGAGTGCATACAAAGTGTAGCTAGCGCAACAGTTGATGGTATTAAAGTCGAAAAAATGCAATTCTCTTTAAATGAAATAGATGATAACTTACAAATCTAAAAAAATGACGAATATCCCTTTTTCAACATTAACCCCAAATACGAAACACTCTTAGAAAGGCATGTCTCAATTGAAAGACACTGACGCCTCTGATCGAGTATAATTGAATCAATCTGCAAAATACCTGTATTTCCATTGATATCCACTTTCTGCGAAGATTTTAACTCAATTAAACCACATTTTGGCTCTCTTTCTTCCGGGGTTTTATCTCTACTTCCTGCACTTGATTTCTCATTGCGATCGTCGTGGTGATTGTTCTGCAATGCATTCGATCGATCTCCCTTCAACGGTATGTCTTTTCCAGCAGCACTTTGACGCAAAGCATATTCGCTTCTAGAAACTGTCGGCTTCACGAATTCATCCGAGGGCGTTTTTGGGGCAGTCATAGTTCGAAAAGGGTTCCGAGGTACCTCCTCGCTAGACTTTAGAGAATTATAGTCATCTCTAGATGAAAAATCACTGGGGCTACGGAAATATTTATCGTTTGGTTTCTGAAAATCAGTTCTACCATCGAAAGCACTTGCTAGGGGATAACCATCAGATTTTGCAGCCTCGTAACGGTTCAACGGATAGCCTCTCATTGAATAGTCAAAGCGAGGATAGCTGAAGCGCGACGGTGCTTCATTCCTTGTGTATCCAATAACTCCAGGGTATCGATCCTGTGATGCCATCGACCTTTGTAAGTAGTAGTCCTGTACAGCACTTAATCTCTGATGAAATTCACTTCTTGATGAATAGCCATCGCGCAAGCTGTCTCTCCAGTAGTCTCTATAACTAGGCTTAGGGCTGTAGCCTTGCGAGCCTAGCCTCATGCCCTCCTCAAACCTGTTATTAGCTCCTTCCGCCCCGTAACGAAAGCTACTGCTATCGGGATGTGAACCGTAACGAAAGGTCTCCTCGGCTTGAGATGCATAGCGAATATTTTCGTCTTCGTCATAGGACGAAAGCCGTAGTCGGTTGTTATTTTCTTCCGGTATTTCGGTCTTAAAGTCAACCGAGCGCTCGCGTTTGAACGGATTGTGGTCAGTTTCTGACTTGAATTCACGTTTATAGTCAGAAAGTGAGTTGTTCATTCTCAGTACTGTTTCGTGCTGTTGGTGTTGTTGGGGACTCTGTTTCGATATGAGTTCTTCCTGAGGCAAAGATGGAACAACACAATCTTCATCGCACGTCGATTCGCTTTCGTTGCCATTTATTGACTAAAACAAGCAAAGGATCAAATGAAATATCTTTCAATTTTCTATCAACTAATTATCTTCCCTAGTTTTCCTATGTCTTCATACATGACCTGTCACAGATATCAATTATAATTCACAAAACCATCCCTTCTCTGGACAACAGCAACATATCTTCACAGAAAGTAGGAAAATTTGTACGATTCACTTAATTGATGATATCATTTTTCAAAGGAGTGGATACCTTATCAAAACGAAAAATTAGTTGAAGGAAACTTGCACTCATGGTAAGCTCCGTAAACACAGGATCAGTGTAAAATCAAAAAAGAATTTAAGTTTGGATGTCATTAAGATCCAGTTTTTGCTTTCAAAAGAAATACACTAAAATTTTCAATTTACTCGCCAAAGGAAATGGTGCAATTAGTATGGGGGATGGTGCAATCAGTGTTGGGAAAAGTCAATTAGTATTGGGGGGGGGGAGGGGGGATGCAATTTGAGTAAAAATTCCAAAAGGCTACTCGGCGATCTGTCCAGCTTATCGTTATGAGAGGGAAGTTGTTGCACCAAAATTCAAATAAAAAACAGAAACATGCCTATCTTGAGATAACAGATTTTCATGCAGACACCAAAGAAAATCAATCTCGAAATTCTAACAAAAGAAATATCGAAAAGAACATTAAGCGTAGAGGCTGGACCACAGGATTGGGGGTAAAGCAGCAACAAATAGGTTAGTCGCTCTGGATTTCAAAGTGCGCTTCGATCGAGTTAAAAAACTTAGGATCAGAATAAAAACTTGCCTCTTCGCTGCGTGAAGTTGATGGTGGTTTAATCTTAGAAGCAACAGGCTCAAAATTATGCGATTTTCTCAAATGATACTTCAAGCCGTTTGCACTCTTGAACTTTTTCATACAATATCTGCACTGATGTGGTCTTGGGTCCGACGCATGTGATTTCAAATGATACCTGTAGCCAGGTGAAGAGCGAAAAACTTTACCGCAGCCTTCTGCGGGACACCGTAGAATTCGCTTAGCATCTGGGGGCCTTGGTTCTGTGTCCTACGAAAAAAATATTAAACTTAAGAAAAATCTCAATGTTTTCTTACTTTTGCCAGCATTGTATTATAACACTTACCTAAATTTAACACTTCTACATTCTCCACAAAAACTGAAATAAAGGACTGCCTCTAATAAACGCCACCCGCGACAAACGCCCACTCTAAACATTGCAAACATCGAAGGTTCACATTTTTGTGCATGAAAAAGAATATTTCAAGTTAAAACTTTGAGTATCACATTATAATTTTAAAAAACATTATGATCATCATCAAACTTTTTAACCTTACTGGGATCTACGTTTATCATTATTTTAGAATGGAATACAGATTTTAGATGTTAGCTATGCTAGCGATTAATTTCTGGTTATAAGACAGACAAAAGGTAGGTTTACCTCTCTCGACTCAACATATCAAAATAATCATGTTAACTAGTTCAGCCCTATATTGACAGCTTCATTAGAATTGCAACATGTTATAATTTAGACAATTTAGCAATTATTCTTTGACAAAAACCAACTACGGTTAAATTCGTCGTTTTCCTCTATAGAACACTTTGCTATAAAACACCTCTTTTTATCAAACGCCGCCATCGATTAAATGTTTGCCTCTAACCTCTCTCAATGCAATGCCAAGTCACTTTTTTGAGGAAATACATTTAAAAGAAAGATAATAAGCTGCGTATATTCTTTGCTAAAGCTGGAATGCACTGGATGTGCATTTCCATAAAATTCGCAACGTGTGCAGATCAACGCGCGTATCCATGTGGAAAATAAAATGTTGAAAGCAAAATGCACAAACTCTTCCTTTTGTAGAGTGTATAAAAACTGGGATGATTTGTATTATAAAAGGTTTTACGTCCCTGTATTTCTCTTTCCCTATTTCATTTACAGTTTCGTTTCACCGCCTCGAGGTCTGTTTTAAAAATGACTGCGTGACCGGGCTATGACGTTACATGAGCAATCAAACTGTCTGTCCGCCAGTCTGTCAGCAGACGCGTGCGATTACACGCGGGTAATATTGCCAGCGCACGCTACACTAAATGGATTACGTTTAGGTGTTTTCAAGAATAATAATTAGTATGCTGACACCTGATTTCAATTTCCAGTTGTTTACGAGATGCACAGCGCAAACAACATTAATTGCTAATTATTTACTAGAATTAAAGTAAGTTCTGTTCGCGAAGTATTCATCACTTACACTAAGTTCATTACAAGGGCGATTAGGTGTGGCAGGGAAAACCCAACGTAATTATGATCGGTATTGCAAACTTTATAGACAATGAACTTTGATTAAATGAGACTGATCAAAATCAACATTGAGATTAATTAAAAAATCATGAACAATGCTGTTTGCCAAATGAGAAAACAATAGTTTAGAAATTCACACGGTTTATGGTAATTATAAATGCAGCTGTCACTGCGTCTGATGACAAAATAGGATGTCTTATATGATCGATGTCTAAAACGAAGGTATTTTTTGATGCAAAAATTGAAAGGAATCTTAAATTACTGGGCTAGTAGAAAGTAATAACAAATAGAAAATAAACTGCCTGTAATCGACTTCAAATTTAACCACACTACGTAGATATGTCAATATAAACTGAAGTGTATTTAGATAGAGTTGGTTTATAGTCGTTTCTGTGATACCAGCAAAACATCTGAATAAGGAAAGTATATTAACACTTCGAGCCACAAACTGGAGTTTCATCACTTATTAGCAGCCCTACTACAGTGATCTCATTATAAAATTTTTAAAAATGAGTTCATTAAGAAATTACATAACAAAGTTTTCATTAACGTACTTGACTTTTTTAAGAATATGCATAATTTTTTCAACTTTATAATGAAATTTTAGATGAACAGGAAGGCAGGATTCTCTTTAATTACAATTTGAAAAATTAGGTGCCCGAATAGCAGGCCTGGAGCAATGATACAGTTGCCCAAGGGTTGGGCGGAATCAACGAAATTGAGTAGACCATTTTGTACATAGCTGGCTAAGTGGAACAGAATGACAAAGCTTTGAGCTGTGGCTCGTGTAACACCAGCAAAGAAATTTCAATTGGTACATTTACCATATTATGAACAGCTAGAATGAAAATTTGAACACGCCAAGTATCTTTTACAAAAATTCTTGTAATTAAAACATCGTTTTATAGAGAGTTAAACAGATTTCGTTACGGAAGAAATTCGACCAAATAAAAAAAGGAATTGCATTCCATAGTTTTAGGCCTTGTCATATGGAAGTCAGACTTATGCGGAACTTCGACTCACGGGGAAGAAAGTTGGTTTGCATTCGCTTATTAGGATGAAATGGCGCAAATCCCAGTGTTAAAAGCGGCAATATTTGGGTCAAATCCTTGAATTTGCTTGCAAAGCAAAATCGACCAGACTCCGTTCTCACATTCGCCACACTTTTACTGCAGCTGAAGTGCTTGCCATCTGAAGGGACCAAACTGCTTTTTGGCTTTCTTCCCAGTGGCGTAAAAAGGAAAATTCTCAAAAGGGGCGAGAGATTTAGATTTTCCGACTAAAAGCTAATTAGGATTTAAAATGTTAGGATTTTTCTGGCATTTCTGGCACTAAGGCACTTTTAAGTATCTTACCTTATTGTAAGAGATTGCAAATCTGATTCAGACCAATGAAGGAAGTCGTTCTATGCAGCTTTTTTATCTTGTCTCTCAAATTGTAATCCGTAGATGGCTTAGATAACCATGTTATATTTCCGATTACAGGGGAGTTACTCGCCCCCTTTGACCCCCTCTATCTACGCCACTGGAACACCCTTTCAAACAAAATTGCAGAATAACGGGGATTACTTAGATAAAAATAGAAACTCTCTTTAGCTCCTCTTAATAGGTTCTAATAGGCAATGGACCCTTTCTGAGCCATCTGCAAATGCAGCGCTGCTGTGCAGCATGTGACCTTCAACGACCTTCACTGTTATACGGCGGACAATAGAAAAAATGGAGTTATTTATGTAAGGAAAAAGTCAATTCGAAGACAGATAACAGGAAACGCAATGCTAAAGTGCGTGGCATTTGTACATCAAAACTCAAGTGCAAACAGGACGCAGGAAACGAATGACTGTATATTTCTTTGGAAAAATCATCACTTTGTCCAGGCAGCGAACCCTGGAAACCTTAGCACTAGGTTGCGTAAGAGAGGTTCCAGGAAAAACTGGAGTCCGAAAACAAGGCCTAAAAACATGCAGGTGATAACTCGTTCATTCATATGAACATATTACAACTCAACAGATAGGTGGATGACTTAATGTTTCAACAATCATGCGGTTTTCACATGAAATGGTCATTTTTTATTTTTGACTTGTTATTATAGGAACCAGACAATTTTTTTGTCGATGCTCTTACTCTTTGGATAATTTGAGGCTTAAATGTTCTTACAATTGTTTATTTTTCAACATTGAATTTTCTACAAAACGACACTAAACAACAGTTTTGCAAGAAATATTTAGCAGCACGGCCGATTTGCTGATAAAATCACCATGTTCTGTTTACACAAGAGAACATTTTAAAACGTAATGCTTTTCTTGTAATGTCTCATAATCTCATCTGAAGCTAAGTATGCACTTACGTTGTTTTTTTTCTTTTAGCAAATCGAGCCCCGGTGTTCTTGTGAATTGAGTTCTTGTATAAAAGAGTTTAGTTGACGCTAACCATCTTACTGAATAAAATGGATGAACAACAAGCCGAGTAGCCTGAAATTTGTCTTATATTCGTTTTATTTTAGGGTCAATCTGAGCCCTAGTGTAATTCTAGAGTTTATTCTTACAATTTTTGACGTAACTTCAAATTTCATATTTTACCTCAGTAAGATAATAACGTCACAACTAGGAAAGCAAATAGGGAGACATGAAGCTGGGCTTTGTCTTTGGTCAGTTTCTAAAGAAGGTGAGAATAAGCAGTACTTGTGTCCATGTTGTATCTAGGTATCATGGCAATTAAGATAGGCTCCTTCGCAGAAAATGTTCTTTAAGTCAGGACCATATACGTTCCTTCAGTTAGAGCTAGCACAGAGAAAGTGAAAAGTAAGCCTCAAAATTCCAATTGACGTTATTGCAGGCCAACAATTGAAAATTTGAATCACACGATGTTTTATTTGGTTTTCTTATATCTTTTGGGAACTTTCAACCGAACACTCGTGAATGATGAGAAATCGTCATAACTAATGACCCTTCGCTAACGCATGAGTTCCTTTAAGGAGGAAGCATGTGGTGCCCAAGTCCATTGTGAAGGGTAACTTACAAATAACCGTGCATAAGTGGAGCAGGCAGGGAAAACGCTGTCTTCGCCGAAACTGATTTTCTACTGATGCATAGGGAATAACTTTTGAACAACCGCTCGAACTCCTACCAAAAAAAAATATTACGTAATATAGGCAAATTTCACACAGGGGTACGAGACAACCTACTCTGATTACATAGCAGCTCGAGGTTAATGTCCCTATAGCAAATACACAAAAGATGCAGATATGGCTGAGGGTATCACATCGCTCTGCCGGTAAGCTTTCGATGCAATAATCCAGCATTTGAATACTTGTGGCCTAGTGATAAAAGCTGAAACCTTGGGACTCAATTACACCAACGAACCCCATCAAAATAGGTATCAGACAATGTAACCCCATTGAATATCGGTTACCCCGCATTACGCTATTTTTGAATAGATATTAGTTCTGTCTACCTCACAATATACTGTTACGCATGTTTGCTGTGGCATTCGGCCATGCTAGTGCTTCACTGGGCTACAGTCACAGTAACAAAGAAACCAGGGTTTAGCAATGCAGAAAAGTTGCCACAAACCCTCTCAAAACAAAAAAGAGAAGCTTAGTTTTCTATCGATGTCACTACTACAGGCATTGTCAAATACCTAAACCATAGTCCTATAGTAAAAAGCCTGAACCATAGTCCGTAAGCCACGCCTAAGAACAAAAGGTGTGGCTGAAGAGGAAAACGATTTTTGAGAAATGATCATTGGTTTCTGGGCCT